TGAATGTTGGTTTGCGATATACAGATATCTTAAACCCATGCTTTCCTGAAGATATTAGTACATCCAGGAATGCAAGTTTATTGTTGTTTTCTCTCTCTACTGTGAAATGTGTCGATGATCTTATTGAGTTCACATGGTCCAGTAATAGCTAAACCTCTTCTTGGTGTGGCCAGAGTATAAAGATGTCATCTACGTATCTCGGTTTTAGTGATATGGATTATAATGCCATTTCTTCGATATGTATATATATGTAAGTATATGTTTGACATTGCTGGTGATAATAGTGAGCCCATTACTAAGTCCATATCTTGTCGATATATGTCTGATCCCATTCCGAAGTATGTTGTTTATATACAGAAAGTCAGCATCTCCATCAGATTATCTATTGGTATACTGTCCGTTCTCCTAGGGATGTCCGAGGCCAGTCTTTCCTTGACTACCTATAGTGGGTATCTTGGTGAACAAACCCACCACGTCCAGGCTCACCATCTGGTTGGATTGGCTAGGAGCATCTCTGATTATTTCCACGAAGTGGGTGGAGTTTCGGATATATAAAGGTGACTCTCCTAACAATTGGCATGAGCAGAATACCGTCTTTGTGAATTTTTGGGAGACCGTATATGTGAGGTAGCTTGGTGTAACGTTGGTCGCATACTACTGCCTGTATGTCTTGTGAGGAAGTAGTCCTTGTTCTTAATTAGGATTTGAAGCAGTTTTCGTTCTGTTTTCATTGTTGGATCTTTCTTTACTGTAGCTACCATTCACAATGAGGTCTTCCAGTTTTCCTGTATGTTCTGATTTGTCCATCACTACAGTCACATTGCCTTTGTCAGCTGGTAGTATGATGATGATGCTATCATTCCTCCTTAGGATTCTGATTGCCAGGCTCTCCAGTTTCATGATGTTTGATTTGGGCAGCTTGGCTTTCTCCAGTATCTGTCTCACTTCCCATCTTAGTTCATCTGCCCGAGCCTGAAGGATGTCAATTGTCATTTCCTCGATTCAGGCAATGATATCCAAGTATAGTATCTGCCTGATGGTTGCGGCGAAGTTGAGACCCTTCTTTAGTACTGACTCCTCATAGGCACTGAACTGGTGTTGACTGATATTGATTACTGCCTTCACGGGTGGTGATGGTGGGGGTGATGGACATTGTACGTCAACTTCTGATCTTTCAATCTGTTTAATTGTACTTGGCGTGCCTAGACTGCATAGAATTTGTGTCTGAAGGATTTATCCAGATCATGCTGGATCCTCTTTCGGTATTTTTCATCGCTAATTCTGTCAAAGAATGCCCCGAGCCTCTTTGAGATATCAAATTGCAGTTTTTGTTTTATCCAATGGTTGCACTGGATTCTGTCTCGGACAAGGGCATATCTTGCTTTTTTCTGCAACTAGACGGGCTCTCCTTGAATTGACGGAAATCTTGGTGCCCAGCCTGAAGAGATGAGTCGTAAGTCTCTGCATCGGCGTAGGGATGTTAGATGGTTTGATATTCATCCCAGTTTCTGGTGGGAGTTTTTAAATGTCTCCATATTTTCTTTTCTAGTTTCTTACTTCTGTACCACCTATGATCTTTGAAAATTTAAATGCAACATCAATTGCCATCTTCTGCCTTCCTGAATCTTTTCTTTTATTGTCCTTTCTTCTCACTAACATTTTCTCATTTTCTTTCACTCTTAGTAACCTCTAGCGTCTTAGTGATATTATCACCTTACTTGGGATCAAATGATTAAAAAAAGCATCATGCTTATAGTGTAATGAAGAAAACGCATTCATTTTACATAACAAATATTTATTTTCCTCCTAACTTGTCAATGCACTTAATTCAGTGGCGAATATTAATCACTTCTTTAAAAATCATTTCACCCCTAGCAAGATGCAAGTTGACTGAAAAGCAAGAAGGTGAAAGAAAGTTCCACAAACGAGAATGTGAGAGGAAACTTTTAGCATAGAACTTACAATTACATCTAGCAATTTTAACTGTAAAATGACGAGATTTGCTACTAATCTAGTATTGTGCTTAAATTCACAGAGTCCAGGTACTGTAGTGGAGAGTTCATCAGAACAATCCCCATGAAAATATTTATAGAAAAAACATAGGGCAGCTATTTCATGGTAATGAGAAAGTGACTGAAGCCATGATGCCAGGTCAGAACCAATAACTTTGCAGATTCCTCTTCTAATTTTATCAAGAATCTCTAAATATATAGTAGAAGCACCAGACCAGATGTGGCGGCAATATTTAATGTATGGATGAATGACAGAATCATAAATACATAAGATAGATTCTAGCAAGAAAAATTGTCTAGCATGACACAGTGGACCAACTTTTCAAGCAGTAGACCTAGCAATTTAATATAATCTTTCCACTTCATGTCAGCAGAAAACAGTACCTCAAGAAGGAGCAATGAGTCTCTCTCCTGTAGCTTAGCATCAGCCATTGTTACATTCTTCCTAAAACCAGATCTTCTTCTGATTCATGCTATACTAATTCCCACCACTGGCTGAATGGGAATGCTCTGAACACCCAAAACTAAACTAAAATTTCCATTAACAGCACAAGGCTCTGCACATATCTTTCATTTTTACTCACACATTCAAAGAAAAAAAGCAATACAATCCAGAATTTTCACCCACTCCTGCCTAAAGAAACAAAATAAAAACTGGAGCTGATTTAAGCCTGAAAAAGGACATAAAAGGGACATTCAGCAGTTGGGCGGCACCATGGCCTGAATTCACAGACTTTGTCAGAAAGCAATCTCCAATTCAGAGTTGATTAGAACCTCTAACAATTTGCCAAAAAACAGTAGAAGGCTAATAGACTGACAGATGAATTAGACGGTTCGCCTGAATTTTCAAAGACTCATACTACAAAAGAGGATTTTTAACAAGCAGGAAAGCAAGAAGCAGCAAGGCATTTATTGTAGAGTTTAGAGAGAACAGAAGCCAGTTCAGGATCATATTTCTTAAGGACTATTGCAGTGATATCATCAACTCCACATGCTTTGTAGGAATACCATTTAGAGATGATAGCAGAAACCATGGATAGTTATATGCATATCAATCAATATAGACTCAGTTATAAGTGGAAAGTCAGACAAAGATACTTAAAGAGTAGAATTGGAAGAGAATTTATGAGCTAAACATTCTGCTTTATCAGCAAAATATGTTAGCACCTCAGATTGAGTGAAAAGAGGAAGAATAGAAGACTTACTCTTATTTAACACACTATTACAGAGCCACTGCCAGTAGTCATGAGAACCAAACTCATTAGAGGCTATATAGTGTCTTATTCTATCAGTAAAGACTTAGCTTCTTTGAGGACATGTTTACAATAATTATGAGTAGACACAAAGAGGTATCTGTTGGGATCAGTACTATCATACTGGTACAATCTGAAAAGTAATTCCTGTGGACTATAGCAGCTGAACAGGCTTATGCGAAAGAGAACATTTTGGTTTCATTTGATATTTCTAAGAAGGTACAAAATCATCAATGCTGGCTTTAAGCCAAGAAGAAACCTAAGAAAAAACCTCTGTGGCAAAATTATCAATAGGAAGTTTAATACTATCATTTCATTGAAGCAAGTCATGAAATGAATCCCAGTTAGTATGCTGGTAACAGAAAAAACTTTTGTGAATAGAAGATTCCTGCCCAATAGACCATTCAAAAGAAATATCAACAGATACTATAGATCCAATTTGCCAAGAGGACAGAGTTGTGATGCTAGACAAAAGCTAGAAAAGGAGGTATGGAACAAATCAAGTAAAGAAGCATGGTGATCAGAATTATTAAGGAAACAATATGGAAATCCACATAGATCAAACATTATGCAATGAAAGTTTCAGATTGAAATTCACCTAAGTCAGGTTACAAACTTATTGATAATAATCTCCTCATATTTTCTGGTACTTTTTTTTTTTTAAATATTTTTGAATTCTGAAACTTATTTAGTCCAGATATAAACCTTGATTGTGTGTATTTCTGTCAGATACATCATTCATAAAAGAAAAATAAATGATGTTAGTAATAAAGGAAGAGGAAATTTTATTACTCCACTTGGCTTCACCAAAGTCACCCATTAGGTGGTGCTGTTTGAGTCTATAAAAAAATCAAATATTTTCCTTCCTTTTTTCCCCTTCTTGTTCGAAGATGTGGGAAAAAATGACATCCCCGCTGAGGCATATTTATTTCCTTGATCCACTGACAACTGAACTCTTTTTCCAATTTCCAATACACATTTGCTTGTGTCTTCCAAAAGCTCCACCTATGAAGTAAATCAACCTTTTCTTTGAATATTCCAACTCAGTGCAAGACTCATGCTGACCCTCCAATGATGAAGTAAGTACAAACTTTTTGGGGGGTTGTTCTAACTCTGCGCAAGGCTGATTTGAGCTAGACCATTATATCGATGCTTATACTTACTTACCCTAACTTCTTGACCAGAAAAAGAAAACATACATACACAAGAGACATTGAGAACTTTGTTTCACCACAATTTCTATATAAAAATAGAATAAACTGTGTTAGAAACATTAATTCTTGTATGCTTCTTCTGTAATTGTTAATGAATGCACACCCACCTACAATATACCAACACACAAACCTTTTAAATTATATAAATGCATAAAAAACAAAGGAGATATGCTTAAAAACAACACACAAAAATATGCAATGAACTCAATTTTTTAGCACTCTTTGGAGTAGAAAATTTCACTAAATTAAAAAAGTGTACTAAAAAAATTGAACATTATTTAACAAGTGATTAAAATCAATCTTAAAATTGAAAAAAAAACTATTTATTATCAAAATTTATTAATTAAAACTTAATAAATCAAACTTTTAATTTATCATTTTTTAGAAATATTTTTAAAAAAGTAAGCTACTTGTAATTAGTTTGTAGTTTGCCAGACATAACTAACTGTTATTTCTCGATTTATCGCTACTTGCAATCGTCTGTCTGTGAGTCTTCCTCCAACCAACGGAGGTGCCTAATGATGGCTTCATATCTTCGAAGGTTATTTACTCCAACCTCTGTTGGTATTATTAAAAGAGCAGGTATGCAATTTGAACGTTTTGGGGATTCTTATTACACTTTTAACATCAAACTTTTATATTGATTGTGCTAATTTCGACGATATTTTTAGGGATAGAATCGAAAATATCTATGTACCTTTAACATTGCAGACACACACACACGTGTACGAAGTTAAGGACATTTCGGTTTCCTTTTCTATTTTCAGTTTTAAAAAAAAGTTCAATTTTCTTCATTATAAAATATAAATTTAGTCAATTTCTTAAACTTTTTTGGTCCATCAATAAATGTTCACTGTTTTTTTAATATCCTATTTTGGCCCATCGTGTTCAGATACAGTTTTGGTACACTCGGGTAATTTTAAAACAACCCCACTCTATTTTTATTATAAAATATTTAAAATGAAGATGGTACTGATTTTTGAAAAAATTACTTTTTTTGAAAGAAGATTTAGAAAGTAGTTCAAAATACTAAAAATCTAAGTTCTGCAAGTTCTGCAAATAAATTTAAATTTGGTTATATTACTAAATTACTTTTACTTTCTTATGTGTGGTTTCAACTACCAATATTTAATTTTTTTTAAATTTATTTTTAGGATTTTTGTTACCATACTTTAAAAAGGTGTTTCACTTACATAATCTAAAGTATTTTACAAAAGAAATCTCAGTGTTACGAAATGATTTCGTGACAATTATCAGACGATTCATCAATGTCTTCTTATTTAAGTTTCAATGTTTTCATTAAAAATAGTTTAGGAAAACAAAAACATTAGCACAGCTAGACTAAAACAACTGATGTAATAATCATTGTAATTTGTAATTTATTGTACTTATTTTATTCTTTTTTAAAAAAGTACTGAATAAAAAAAAAAATGTCAATAAGAGATACTTTTTTTTGTTAATAAACCAAGTCCAAATATTATGAAAATTATTTCTTTGACCTTAAGGACGAATCACAATGACATTATTACATTTATTTAACTTTTAACATCTATTATTCTTCTAAAAAATTAAGTCTTTTCTGAAATAAAACATATAACAAACTTGGAATTTAAGTTTAGGAGTAAAATTTATTAAAAATTAACTTTATCAAAAAAAAATTTCATTTTTTTTTTTTTTATTATTTCTGAGTTGTCTTCCGGTACAAGTTAGGAAGAGCGGTCCCATACACAATCTTTAGAATTCGTGTTGTATTTGTTTTATTTTCTCATAAATGAATTGTTAGTTATTTTCTTATACAAATTTGTCTGAATGCACGTGAAAAAAATGCAAAAGAAAATTCAAAGTTATGTTATATTGAATTTTTAATTCAACTAGGTATCAGCAACGAAAACCTTCTTGTCGTAATAAAATATTATTTAAAAAATGAATTCTTACAATTTTTCTTACTTTCACAAGAGCCCAAATTTGCGTACTGCAAAGTAAAATAACACTTTTTAAGGTTGATTAAAACGGCTACAAAGTTAATATTTTCCCTTGAATCGTTAAAAAAAATCACAATGGCCGGCCGTTGATTGACAGAAAAACTCGATCCGATAAAAATAATGTAAACAAATTGAAATATATATTAAAAAATAACAAGTAATTGTAACATCAATGCGCTTTTATGGGAAATAGTTACTTAATCTTTCTTTACTCGATTTAACAATTTCCCAGATTATATTAAAAAAAAAAAAAAAACATTAAAAAATCTGTCAATACGAGTCAAAGGTCAATTTGGGCTACAAATTCTTGTTGACAGCTCTGGAGACTGAATTGCTATTCGTTTATGGTTGCATTGTACATAATAAAAATCAATATTTTATTTATTTTCTTTAAATAGGTACCTCTAAAAAAGGGCATGCCATGATGAAAAGTCCCAAACTTGTTATAAATAAAGTTTTATCGTTTAACATCCTTGTTATTAAGACTAAAAGAGGAAAGACCAACAAACTTTTGATTATTTTATTAAATATTAATTATGAATATTGATTTTTTTTCTCTCTTTCTCTACTGGCACCTTCGGAATTTTGGTTAAAATTTTTGACTTAAATTCTTGATTTGCATCAGCGGGCAGGACAAAGATTAGTATGGGGAAGTTAGCATCTTTTTGCGTTAAAAAAAACAAAACACATTAAAATGTTTTTTAAATTCTTGCAAAAATCAAATTGTTGGATTTTTAATGTAATTTTCATGACTTTATTCACAAATGAATGATAGATTATTTTTGAATTTTTTTCTCTTAATAGAAATGATAGAATTTTTTTTTTTTTTTTTTTTTTTTTTTTGATAGAAATATATTTTTTTCATCTGTTACCCCCGCTTAATTTTATGAAATTTCGAGAAATTAAAATTCCAACCTTCTTCATATTTATATTAAAGCAAGATTCCTTAGAGAATTTAAATCTTCAATTTGTTTTTGTCAAAACTGAAAATCTGCTCTGAATCGTAAAATAAAAAAAACTATGGCATTATTTAATTAGATAAGCCTTGAATTACTTTTACGATATAAGGGCACTATTGTCTTAAGAAAAAATGAATTTTTACAACTGTTTTCAAACTTAATAAATTATTCAAATTGAAATTAATTTCAATTTGAATAATTTATTAAGTTTTAAATCTTGTAAAATTTTGCATTAATTTCACCCTTTTAGATGATAGTATTATTATTATTATTAAGCAAAAACTATATTTACCATTTATTTATCATAATTGGAAAAGATTAATACAAATTAAATACCGATATTTTTAAAAGAATTTTGAATTTTTTTGTATGTTTGTAAACGTGCCAATTTTTGTAGATACAGAAGAAAATAAGAGCTAAATTTAAAGCCAGAAAGTATCTAAAATTCAGTAAAATATTAGATTAGAGAATATTTCTTTAATTTTTAAGGTTACTGAGTAAAGTACTTAAAAATTGTATATAAAAGGTGCTCCACGTTATATTCAATTATTTTTTTATAACTAAAGCCTCCATAGAACAGCATTAGACATACATCAATCTATCATTAAGCTGTCAAACATGTCAACAGCTTAAATAAAACAGCTACCCCTGTGTTAAAAAGATCCATTTCTGCTATATTTTAAACTTAAAGTAAATAATATTTGTTTTAAATCAGAGTAATTATACTTTAAATCAGTTAATATTCCTCAAATAAAGTTTCAGTAAAGTATATTTTATTTTTAGAAGATTTTTTTTTAATAAAGAGAATTACATTACGATAAATGTAGGCTAAAAAAATGGTGCTGAAATCAGATTTTTTAGCAAGAAAAAAAAAAAAAAAAGCTCCTTCCAGTCAATTTAAAATAGTTTTTAAATAGTGCAAAGTATTTTGCTTAAAGTTAATCTATTAGTTTGAAATTAAAACTAAAATAAAAGCTTCAAGAAAGATTTTTCATTTTTTAAAATTCATTTTAAGCTTTAGGTATTGCGAATCTGTGGAGGTACCTAAATAAAATTTTCTACATGTTTTATGCATTATACAGCTGAAGAAGGCTGAAGAATACATTGGCCAGAATGTTGGACACAAAAGTTTAGTTGTTGAGATTGCAATATATCTTGACTTTTCAAAGTTTTAACCAATATAATTTCAATGTCAAATAACTAATCAAGATTATAATATTCCCCAAATTTTGAAACAGAAATGTAATTTAATCTTCATTTATTTGTTTGCATTTGGATATATTCTTTCTTGTCTAATATTTTCTGTTTACTTTATTTCAGTACTGAGACCATCTCTTGTAGTGGCACCTTTATCCAAATACCAGAGCACTGAAACCAGACGTAAGTGCCCTAATCTTAACACCTTTTTTATTTTTTTATTTTATTTTTTTTAAAATAATATTTTCTATGTAATATTTCAAAATTTATATGATTTTATTCATAATGACTGAGAAGAATCAACAATTTAAGACAAAATTTAAGCATCAATATTTGAACTGAGGAAAAAGTATGTTTATTATTTTTAAATAAAATTATATTGGCTTTTTTGAATTGTGTTAGCTGCCATTAGCTGACATATGTCCTCAATGTTCATATTTTCTTGAAGAATGTCTGGCTTGATTTATTTCCTATTTGTAGAATTTTATGGCTTTTGTTTTACTTTATAAAGAAGAAATATTGCTAAATCATTAAAAACAAAATAAAAGGGGAAAAAAGGATCTTTTAATAATTTTAATTACGGACAAAATAGTTCATAAAATAGGAAAATGCTTGGTGCATAGAAACAGTTGGCTAAATTTTCATTGCTAGTGTATGAGATTTTAATTAATCTATTAGCATATACTCCTGAAAGGTTGCAATACTCTGTTTTTTTTCAAATAGTTGAAAACTCTTATATACAGTACTCAAGAAAGAAATATGTAAAATTTAAAATTTTCTAAGAGAGTTCTCCAAGAATACCAAAAACCTGATACACTCTGTAGATATATAGGTAAGTATAAACAATTAATGGATCTGTGAGTAACAGTATGTACCCATAGAATCTGTGTATTTTGTAGTTGAGTTTATAAAACATTTATACTGCTCAATATAGGTAATTACAAATTACTACTGGATCTGTAAGAAGTAACATAAATTGTGACAGCATTATCAGTGTATTTATAATTATGACACACAATGTAAATAGATATAAAAAACAAAAAACACATCTATTTCATTTATTTTTTTCAGCCACTGCAAGGCCACAGAATCCATTACTACGATCAACCTTGCATGATTTTGGTGAATATGTTGGGAATTGCCTTCCAAAATATGTGCAAAAAGTGCAACTTACATATAATAATGAGCTTGAGGTACTCATCCACCCTGAAGGTATTATTCCCGTAATGACTTTCTTGAAAGACCATCACAATGCACAGTACCTGAACATTGTGGATATTGCTGGGGTAGATGTACCAAACAGGCCATATCGCTTTGAGGTAAGTTTTTGTTTTTATTTTTTATTCATTCATTGACAGCTTTTAGATATACTAATTCTTTCTTTTGTGGTATTGAATTTGAATCCAAATTTAATTTATAAAGTGAAGAAATATTTCTGTCTCATAATTGTCACATTTGCAAGTAACAACTATTATCAAACTGAAATAGTATTATTATATATAAAACAATTTACATTATTCGGACTATTGTCCTCATCTTTGTCGCCATATTTATCACAACGTTTCGGCCATTGTATGCTCCGGCCTTCCTCAGGTGGTTGGAATTTCGAACTGAACCCTTTATTACACTCACTGGGGTAGACCGTTCTAGTTCCACATGCCATGTTTGATGGATGTCAGTTATCTCCTGCTAATCTCCCTCTGAAAGCTCTCCACTGCCTTAACCAGGTATTGAACTCACACTCTTTGGGTCCTGTCACTGGATCTAACCAACACCTTTATCCACTGCGCCATGTCTCCTTGAGGGCTTCATAATGGGTTATAAATTTAATTTAACCCTTTAAAATTTCAGCAAGTTAGGATATATAAATGCATGTTTAGGCTTATAAAAAACAGTATTCTTCTTCAAGATCACACTGCTTCATTTTCTGTCATAACTGAGTTGTCATGACAATGTCCACCCTCTCCCTGTTACAACATAGTGGGTTGAAGGAGAAAGGGATGATAACATCACTCTCCTTCTGCCTAAAGACATGCTTCAAAAGCCAGATGCTGAAAACTCCTCATAAGGTGCGAATTTGCCTTTATATGCTAATCTCAAACAAGTCATAAGAAGACCATATATGAATAAGTTATCTCTTCTTTCCTTTTCCCATCACTATACCAAATCAACTTTCTGAAACAGATGGTAATTAAAATGCCTGCCAAAAAAAATCATTAAACTAGCAATCAATACATCAGCTAAAATTCTGACACTTGTATGCATTATTGTTTAATTTTAGAATAAAATACAGCATATAAACAAAATAAATGTACATACATAAATATGACAATATTTTTTATTTTAATTTCCAACATGTTACATGGACAAACCACAGGGTCTGTATGGACCCTGGTTAAGACTAATCTCTTAATGGACCCTGTTCTAGACTAATCTTTTTACCATTATTCCAAAACTGTCCCACAAAACAACTTTAATCATGCTACACCTATTTAACAACATTAATGCCAAGTCTTGGCTAGTGGACAATAGATATCTGAAATTTTCAATTTTCACTAGTATCTGTGTTACACCATCTTGGGATGAAGTGACACACATACTAGTGCACTATCTGTATCTGAACTTTGGCTGATGACACAGACTTTGTGTGATGAAATATTCCAAAGCAGGTATCATGCTTTTGAGAGAAATTGGATGTCACCCATAGACCAGTTTCTGGATAAACATGAAATGTAGATCAAAACGAATGTAGCACCAGACGTATTGATACTGACCATTGGGAATCATTTATTTGTAACAGGACTGCAGGCACACTTACTTTGTTAGACTTTTACCACAACATTTGTGCATGTTTCCAATGGTATCATCAAATGGTCAACAAAGAGACCGAATGACAATTTGTACTGTCCAATGATGAGAGCAAATTCTGCCTTTATGCAACTATTGGTCATTTGCATGTGCAATGTAAGCCTAGGAAGTGTCATCTTCTAGTATCTATTTATCAACAAGACACAGGTCCAGCCCCTGACATGGTTTGGGGTGCCTTATGTTGCAATTCTCACTCATCTTTGATGTTTGTAGAGGGGTAAATGTTAAACAGCAGCATCTATGTCCCAAACATTCTCAACTCCTCCTGCTGTCATTCCTGAAACAGCAAAGTGATCTGCTGTTCCAATGCCACAAGCTCTGGAAAATGTTTGACAACTTCCTTGGTTAATATTTACTTTACATCATTTAAACAGTTGTCCTCATCTTTATTGACATATTCATGACATTTTGGCTGTTGTACTCTCTGGTCTTCTTCAGATAATATACATTGGAATTTCGAACTGATCCCTTTATTTCATCCACCAGGGTACGTTGTTCTAGTTCCACATGCCATGCATTTTCTGACTGTCTTAGTTTCATTTATTTCCCTTTAGTGACTCAACTCTCACCTCTGCAGTGGTCACGTATTGAACTCACAACTCTTTGGTTCAAGTCACTGGATTACTTCAGCTAACACTTTTATCCATTGGGTTTTGTGTCCCCAAGGAAGATGGCACTCTCAAGGACACATAGCCCAGTGGATAAAAGCATCGGTTGAAGTAATCCATTCACTTGATCCAAAGAGTTTTGAGTTCAATATCTCACCATGATGAGGACAATATTCTGAATAATACCACATCTCAGAAATGTAGACAAATGTTCCCTTGTTAATTTTCATTATTACACAATTTTATCAATAATTTTAACTTTTTTCATCCAGTTGATACATTTTAATTCTGATTCTGTTTATTTTAACAGTCAAAAATGATTTAGATCAGATGTTATATTTTCATCTTGCGAATCTTTTTTCATTTCACCCCAAGTAAGGCAATAAAGCCACTAAGACATAAGAGGTTATTTTGCTTTGAAGAAAATGAAATTATTAATATTCAAATTTCACTAACACTGATGAAATAAAAGACCAAAAAGATTTTGTTTTAGAGTATTATGAGAATATCTAAATAAAATAAAATAAAAAAAAAAAAAATACTGTTTTACTTACTGTTCAATCACCTGGTTGCAGGAGCTGTCAACAAAAGTAATGTTAAATAATAGTTTAGCAGACTATAATTTTTAGAGGAAGTATATCTCGGCTCCAATTTTCAGAGGTTGATAGTTGGGGTTAGATTTTGATTGGCTGAGCTAGTTGGAGGAAAGAAATGAGAAAGGTTTCAGCAAGTTGTTTCTTACTCCTCAAGTGATGTAGACATGTTCTCTTTTGCATCCAAAATGGCTCCCCAGGCAGAGATAATCTCACTGGATAGTTAGATAATGTAGATGTCGACATGATTAATAAAAATAGTTAAGTTGAAATTCTGTGTTGGAGTCTTTCATTGCCAGACTGAAATGATTGGCGATTGCCGACCAAGAGAAAAAGCCAAGCTGAGATCATTCACTGCTGTCAACATGCAACAGTAATGGTTAAATAAACAAATAGTTAGATTTTGATTACATTGCTGTAAACTGTTGATTGAAGACATTCATTTTTTTTTATTTTTATATTCCAAAATTATTTTAACTCTTAGTCAAACATAAAATTGATAATCCTGGTAGCAATTTAACTCTGATCTTTCTTTTTCCAATTCTAAATCTTTATTTCTTCTGTATTTTTGCTGATGTACAGTTTTTCTTTATTGCAGATTGTCTACCTATTGTTGTCTTTAAGATACAATTCTCGTATCCGTGTAAAGACCTACACTGATGAACTCACACCACTTGATTCCATCTGCTCAGTATTTGCTGGTGCTAATTGGTATGAACGAGAGGTGAGTTAATATTGTTTCTGATGTAACGTGAAAGAATTTCTTTTCTTTTTTTTTTTTTCTTCCAGTTGAAGTTTCTTCTGTGTAAGATATTGAGTTGAGAATTTTCAAACTACTAACAGTTAATCTGAAATGAAAAGTATTAAAATGTAGCAAATTCCTACAACATCTAAATGCCAACACTGAAATGTTCGGATATGAGGACTTGTACTGTATTTCTTCTCAGCACTGAATTTACTTGGTTTTATACACTTATCACATTCTATTTAACTCCCATTAATCAAATGTTTATTTGTATCTGTACTGTTGATTCTAAAGCAGTGGGTTGTGCACACAGTAGCGCAAGTACGTTTTGCCTTAGCGCATCACAGTATGAGGCTGAGGTACCGTCAACCCCTAAGTATGTCTTGAATCATCTCTTTTTTTTTTTTTTTTTTTTTTTTAAATGGATTGACCACCATTTAAGCTGACTTCAGTAAACAGAAAAGCACACAGGCTGATTGAAAGATGGCGATGGCACTACCGCAAACAGGTCAACAGGTAGGTGTGTGAGAAGCAAGGCGGAGACAGAATTAACTGGCTGGCCCCAGAAGGATTCCATGATGCCAACTCCCTGCAGCAGACAAATTGTACAGGTGTAGATTAATTCAATAGGCGAAACCTGGCTAAGGCCAGTACAGAGATTCCAAACTAATCCCACAAAGGTGAAGAGTGATGTCTGTGATGCATTTCGTGTAGCACTGCTGGTGATCACCTGTATGATGGAACTGAACACTGAAACCTAGGAAAGCACATGTCATTACAAGCTCCCTGTAGCACTCAGCTATTCAAAAATGTTGGGAATGGATGCAGCATCAGCGGTGCATTTGCCTGGGGGGCGCTTAACACAATTATTGATGCCTCCACAGTGTAGATGGTAGTGGTGTAATGGAGATGACAGTGGCAGTAGACGGGAGGGTTTGACAGAAAACGCAAGCCATGTGAATATGCCGAAGGCAGGTGAAAGGAAGTGTTTATCTGGCGCGGTGTAGTAACAATGGGAGACAAATTTCACGGACGTCTGTAAGGCAGGTAGGCTGTGAAGGTGTGGTAAGAGGGAAAACTGCTCATGGGAATCAGAGCTTTGCCTGGCAGTTTGTACTGTCGCCAACGGTTTATACAACCCTGAACACAGCAAACTGTCAGCCGCCACCTATCAACCAACAGAACCTCCTTGTAAACGAAATTTTTTTGCAGAACCTCTGGGAGTGAAGACAAATATGTCCTCACTTCTCCCTACACGCGAACAGCTGGCTGTGGGAAAAACACTGCTCTCCAAGGTGAATTTCCGCGACATGTAGTGTTTGGCCCTGTGATTTATTAATAGACATTGCAAAGCAAAGTCTGACGGGAAACTGTGACTGGCAGAATGTAAAGGGCACATCTGAACCTGACGGAGATAGATGCATGCGTGGTATGAATACAGTTTCACCCCTTCCACAACCAGTAAGAATTGCCGCTCCAATTAAATTTGGTGCCAAAGACTTAACCACCATGCGTGTACCATTGCACTGTTTCGGGGGAACCAGGTTACACAAAAGCATAATGGGCATGCCCACTTTCAGTCTCAGTGTGTGAGGCGGAAGCCCCGCTGGTTCTAAGGAATTCAGAAGTTCAACCAGGTACTCCGTAAGGTTGTCCAGGTCGGGCGTCCTGTCGATGGATTTGTAGATGTAATCATCCCTGGAGGAGTTGCTCATTAATGCACTGTGGTGTTTTTTGGAGCAAGAGCAGCTCTTTCAGTAGTTGGCAGTAAGATGCGGAAAGATGGCATCTCTGAGCAGTTGATGGGTGTCAACAATTGAACATAGTATTCCCACTTATTTCGCATCTTACTATTAAGATCGCGAATAAGAGTCGCTGGTGCCTGTAAGAGAGCTCCCTCTGCCATGGCAGCATCCCATTGTGAATCATCCTCCAAAAGGCCACGTTTAAGGCAAGCCTCCCGGTAGGTGTTGCACACAACGCTGTCAACAGTGCAAATGAACTCAAAGCTTGTCAGACCAACAACCTCATGAAGCAGAAGCCAGAGGAAGACGCACTCCTGCTGATTTGGTGACACAGTGTAGACCCGACCAAGGCAGGTGTCAAACTTAATGTCGGAGTATCTGTCAACGCTCTGGCCAGATTTCCTGCAACTCCAAATATTGTTCGCGCAGTTCGTTCAGTGAAGTAAATCTGCTGTCCGTTCTCTAAGTGCACTACCAGCTGTACGATTGCTGGATGCCTCTGGTGAATTGGGAAGCCGAGAATGCACCAAAAAGCCTCGTTGCTGCTGAGGTACCGCCAAGCCAAGTACTGCGAAACTTTGTCTCGGCCGTTGTCCCCTTAACACTGAACGTGGCGACATCACTGCCCTTTTTAACATACTTATGTATTTAATGGAGCAGATGGAATTGCAGAACTCAACGTTTATATGGGCATTGAATATTTTTAGGAGAAGGGAATAGTAGGGGACCACCCAACTGTTGTCAACACGGTGCCTCCCAACTTCGCCTGCCCCTGGCCGGAGCCCTTCGCCAGTACAAAGGATATCTGTCCCCACCAGTTTGCGTCTCATCAACAAATGTCTTAAGAAACCCCTTATAGAGCACGGTGCACCATTTTGACAGCAGGGGCGTGCCTCGTAACCTGGACCACATGGTCCATGGGCCATAGCTTCAAATAGGTCCCTGTCTTCATCCTGATCCGGAATTTTGGCAGAAATTACACTGTCAGTTTGACTGGTGTCAATTTTTGTAGAAAGCCGAATAAGTATGTGGGCATGGGGTAGCCCCCTTCTTTGCTACTCAACAGTGTACATGTCACATCTAACAGGCCTGAAAATCTGTCCCTTCACTATTAAGTCCATAAGTTTTCCCAGTTTTAAGCGGAATAGTGATTTTCTAAGCGTAGCTCAGATGTGGCACAAGGCCAAAAGTATGGGGCACCCAGTGAGGATCAAACTCACAACTCAGTTGTAATTGTTACAGCGAGACAAGCTTGCTAACCATTACACCTTAGTTTTAAGCAGAATGTGCAGGCAGTAATGTCATTTCTGTGAGTGTTATCCTGTTCGGGTAGGAGTTCACGCGTTATCTCAACCCATTTGAGGTTGCAGGTAAACGTTATAAATAAGTTTGGCCACCCATATTGCCTAACGTATGTCATAGCGTCCTGCATGTGTTCATGCATGTAATGCTACCCCCCAGTGTAGGCAGACTGCACAGCTTCCCTAGGTCGCGGGGATTGACTTCATTTCGAAGGCTGTTGTGTAAGTGTACGTAGGAGTCTGAGCGCAGCTGTTTCTGATGATTCTGTATAAAACAAAGCCTCTCCGATTCCATCTTAGTGGCCATGTCAACTGCAAACTGGTGGAAAAGTTCCCTGCATCTATGAAGCAGGTTGAAATCTCCATCCCTAACCATGAACCAGTATGAATAGAAGGCCTTGCATGATAAGGCTTTGGAAGACGTGGTAGGTTGGCCACCTGGAGTATGAAGGGGAATGCCGAAGTGGTAGCCATCGTTACCATAAAGGAAAAGTAAAGGGTACTGCAATGCGTCATATGATCGATGGGTCTCTGAAATCCTGCAAAGAGCGCTGCCTCTTGATTTGAGGACAATATCGCGAGTGTGGTCTTGCTCCTCATGTATAATAGCAGCCACTTTGTTGCACGCAGGAGCATTGTAGCGGCGTTTGTTTTCATCATGAGGCCATATCACTTTTTAAAAACAAAGAACAGCACTTCAAAACTGTAAGTAAGGACATTGCTCAACGTGAGTTTGGTGGATATCACTTGTAATTTGTGAAAACTATCACTGAAAAACTGATGAATTTTTGTTCTAATCAATATTGCCCCCCCACCCCCCAAGACGTCAAATATGAATGCTGTAAATTTCTGATCTGTGTGTGAATTTTCATGCCAATCAGATGAACGGTTTTCTCAGGATGAGGTAACAAGGTGACACACTAACAATGCCATTTATAGATACAGATAAGTTAAGCAGAACTCTTTGGAGAATTTAAATCATCTATTTTTTTTTTTCTTTGTTAAATCGGATGACCAGTTACTGAAAATCTGCTCTGAATTGTAAAATAAAAAAACTCAATGACTAAGACGTGATTTAATTAGAAAAAGCTTTTAATTCTTTTATGAATAATATATATTAAGGACAATATTGTCTTAAGGAAAAAAAATTTGCTATGAAAAATGAATTTTTTACATGATTTTTCATTATTTTTACAATTTTAATTAGAATAATTTATAAAGATTTAAAATTTTTTTAAAATTAAGTTTCAATGGTGTAATTGTTTGGGAATATTAAGTAAAATTATATTTACTAATCATAAATTGAAAAGCTCATTTAAATCTGAGGTCGACTAGTATTTTAAAATGAATTTAAAATATTTTTTGTATATGTATAAACATACCAATTTTTGTAGATATGGATGGTCATACACAACATTATTAGAAAATAAGAAGCGCAATAACTATAGTAAATTTAAAGCCAAAAATATCTAAAATTCAATAAAACATTAGATTACGGAGAATCCAATAGAGTTCATGATAGGGAGTCCTTCAGGTTAAATTTCACTTGTATAAATGATGTTGGTTTGCTAGATATTAATCCTATTACTGTTTCTTGTTTTACTTCCTCAATCATATTAAATATATTTAGAAAACTATTGAGTACTACAAATATAAAATTAATCTTTGAACTTTGCTCTTAAATAAAGGTTGCATAGATATTCTCCAAAACATAGGCTATTTATTATAGCACATTCCTTTTCCTCTCCCTGAGAGTCTTCCTTTTATGAAAGACTATCTCTGTAATAGTGCTAAAAGTAGGTTGTGATTACCTCATGTTCTTGATTTGACAAAATTTAAGTCTAGTATTTTCTGTGATTACTCCTTTGTATATGAATAACATTATTTCATTTAAGGAAAACTCTGATGTAAAAAAAAAAAAAAAATTAAGCCTTTTTCGTTATGATTGTCATGTAATGACAATGCATCCAAAATCAATGCACAATGATTGTAGATAAAATGAACAGTGTTAAGAAATTTCTCTAAAATTTCATACTTTCTCATGAAAATATTGAATATTTTTTTTTTGTTTGCATTCAGATATGGGACATGTTTGGTGTTTTCTTCTCTAACCATCCTGACCTTCGTCGCATCCTTACTGACTATGGATTTGATGGTCATCCTTTTAGGAAGGACTTCCCACTCAGTGGTTACACAGAGGTGAGTTACAAAAATAATCTAGAATAAAATTAACTTCATAAAAATTGAACAAAGCTAGAAAATTCATATTTATTAACAAATCAGACAAAAACAGAATGTTAAAAAGCTAATAATACCATTAACAATGGGATAGACAACCTTTTATACAGGATATGAAAAGAAATAAAGAAAAATTAAAGTTAGTGCTTATATTCATCTCAATAAAAAAAAAACATCAAGTTGTTTCCCTTGTTTTGTTTAAAATTTGTATTTACAATCATCCCATAATTTGACACAAATCTAACACAAGCTATGAAATAAGTTTCTAGTGATGTTTTTTCTTCTTCATAATGACTAAGAACAATTATTTCACTTAGATATTTCTGTACCAAGATATTTTCATGCTTAATTCTATGAAATAATGATATAAAAAATTCTTTTAATGCAATTGAATTTTTTCAATATATTTATCAATAAATAAAGTATAGTTGGTAATAATTTTATTTGAAGCTGTAAACTGACTTTGCACAAAGTTAAATGCTATTAATCTTTATTAGCTCTAAAGATAAATTATAAAAGACAACTAATATTTCTTAACTTTGATAAAATCATTCAACATTTTTTATCTTTTATATAACATTTTAATTAAAGCTTTTAGCAAGAGATTTTTTTCTTTATTTAATTACTTATTATATACTAATTATTGTAGCAATATTAGTATTGTGCAAATTGACAAAAGTACTTAGGAATGAAAATCATGAAAACTATTTTGGATTCAGTTCTCTCATTACAACAAAGTCAAGTCAGTTGTGTGTATGGGTTGCTGTTGTTGAACTTATCATGCATTATCAGACAATCAACCTCCAAATCTATCCTGAAATATAGAAGAAATTCACTCACTTTTGTAATATACTCCATATCTGTATACATTTACAGATTGTTCTTTTTTTTGTCTCTGTTTATATAATGGACTGCAGTGAAAACCCAACTACTTTTTGTAACTCTGTACTGCAACAATTGTTTCATAAGGAATTTCAGTAATGAAATGGGATGAAATTACTAGATTGGCAGTTAGTTTCATTTTGAAAATAGCATTTGAAATAGCTAGATGTAACCATAAGTTCTATGCTAACAGTTTTTTTCTCACTAGTGAAACTCTCTTCCAGTTTCTTGCTTTCCAGTCAACTCTGCTTTTAAAATTTTTGAAGAACAATGTCAATTGTTATCTTCTATCTTCTTAATTCCTGTTCTTTTATTGTTATCTCTCCTTAATGTTTTTTCTTTTTTCTTATATTCTTTCATTCAGTAACCCCTTGCATCTTAGTGGCTTTATTGCCTTGCTTGGGGTAAAATGCTTTAAAAAAATGCTGAAAGATGCTTGATGAAAAGTTCAGACATAAATACTATCTTCTCTATACCTATTAACATTCACCCCCCCCACACACAAACCACCAAGCGATTTCATATTCTACAGCACACTGCAACATTGCTTTGTTTGGTAGGGTATAATTTGTATGAAATTCTATTAAGTTGGAAATTCCTTTTCACTCTGTTTCAGTAGATTATTTCTGTTACAATGCTTTGCATTTATTTCTTTATCATAATGTTCAGTGTAATTCTTCCCCACCCCAATTGTTCCTTGTTGAAAATGTGAAGAATTTCTCAAAACACAGCTCTAACTGTCCACTTTTTGTTTAAAAAATACAGATATTTAGTAAATATGCAAATACGAAAAACTTTATACAAATCAAATTTGTGGGGTTTTTTGCTTGCAATTTTAATCTTTGAAAATTTGATGCATAATTGTAAATTTTGACTTCATACATAAGTTTTGATCTTTTATTTTTCTGAAATGGTTCTTTTTGGTAAAATTTTTATGCTTCAAATAGGCTGTTTATATTTTTCTGAATTTTTGGACAGGGTGGTCCAATATACACAAGGTGGTCCAAATTGTTTTGTTCTAATTTCATTAAGTCAAGCAAAAGGATTATTTAAAATAAAAATTTCAAGTAAAAAAGGTGCATTTTTATCTTTTGAAATTACCTTGTGCTGTAAACATTTTAAAAAAAATGATATATTTTCTTTGCAGGTGCGTTATGATGATGAGGCCCAGCGTGTAGTTATAGAACCATTGGAGTTAAGCCAGGAGTTTCGTAAGTTTGAATACAGTACCCCATGGGAAACATTCCGTGGGTTCCGTACTAAGAGTGAAGCTGATGAGATTGAAATGAAGCAGGTAGAAGCAGGAGAAACATCCCCAACTGGAGAAGAAAAGAAATAACAAAGTCCCAGATTAAAGAATATCAAAGTACAAAAATAGTATTTGTTTCTTTCAAGTGTTTCATTAATTAGAGATTGTAAATAAACATTTTAACTTATGTTTTTGCTTGTGTTCTAATGAGATTTGCTTGTGTTATTAATGTCTTTAGCTTTTCTTTTTTTTCTTTTGAACTTATTGCTCTCCTTCTTTACCCTACAGATGTGTGGGTGTTGTTTCTTTACCCTACACATGTGTAATGGATAGTGTTTTAGAATGAGAGGGTCAGAGAGCCAAGTTTAAATTCCAATCGGGTTCATTTCATTTACTTGCACGAAAATACCCTTGGGGGAAGGTATGAATCCATCTGCTCCCTCCAGTTGTAGATTAAATAGTAGGATTTGGATTTGTAAAAATCATTGTTATTCTCAAAAAATTGTTAATGTAATATTCACTTGTAAAAAAGAAATATTCAATGGGTTGATAAGCCATAAAATGAACAAAAAACAACTCCCCAAAAAAAATTTAAGCAAAATGACCAGAGTTCACAGCCAACCTGGAAAACGGAATTCAAAAAAAAAAAAAAAATTCCTCTCCCATTTTTTTTTTTTTTTTTTTTTTTTTTTTTTAAGAAAATCCTGGGAATTATAGGATTTTCTAATACAACTTGATATATACATCAAGTGACATGTTTATTTTATGCTTTTTTTAAAGTGAAAATTCCTTAAAATAAATATTTAATGTTATTTATGCAATATATATTTTTTTTTTTTTTTTTTTTAGGAATAGTAAAATTTGAATAAAAATGTCTTGTTTACTTCAACTCATGATGGAAAGACCAAAGCCTTAATCCTGAATTTAATTTATGGATCATACCAGTGAATGCCAATCACAGTAAAACTGTGTTGCTTGTTGCCAGAAAACAATTTCACTGGTTGTCTTGTCATATTACTCATTCTCATTATTAAGAATTTTGAAAAAGTATCAGCTGAAGAACAGAAAACAAAAGAAGTAGTTGAATGAATTGAAATCTTAGAAGAGAAATGTTAAAAAAGAACATCAAAAAAGAATTAAGTGACAGGGACATTGCAGAACTTACAAATTCAAGAAAGTAATAAACTTGCTCACATCTTGTATTTAGAGTAAAAATGTTACATTATGATGAGAAAGTTTATATTCTACAATGTTTCTGTGTCCATTCATCTTCTTAGCTATGCTCCAGCACAGCTAGATACTGTCTGTCTGTTATGCAAAGTTAAAAAAAAAATATCAGGGGGATTTATTCATTGATTAGGCTGGAAAAAATTACCCTTGCAAAAATCCAGAAAATCTACAATCCAATTTCACTGAAGATTAAAACTCTCAAAGCATAATCAAGAAAGAAAAATGCCCCCCCCCACCAATATATAAATATGTTTATTAATAAATATATTGAAGAAAAAAATGACTAAAAAGCACAAAAACCATGTTAAGCAAAAATATGATGATTTCAAATTCTCCTGCTAAAATGGGCATTGGCCCTCTTGATAGAAATTACAAACACTGTCCCCACCCTACAACTGAGCTATTATGGTTCCTCTCCCTTGAGCCTCCAGTGTCTCCTGTTAAAAAAAAAAAAAAAAAAAAGAGTAAAACTTGGTTATCCTGATATTAACCTTTCATCTGTTTCTTTATTGATGCACTCATATTAGAAATATGATTCAGATTTTTTACCCTGCTTGGAAGACTGGAAGAATCAGGTACCTCAGGCAGTTTTTCACTGACTGATCATCTTGTTCCACACTATTTGTGTCACTGAGCAAAACTAGAAAAGAACTTGTGTACATTCAACAAAGAAACTGAAGATATCACACAGAATTATTCTTGATACAACTGTCTCATACTATCACCTTAAAGAGAAAGATAAGAAGTCAGTTGATTCCAATAAACAGAACTCTTTATTTGTGAATCAGTTCATATGACGCTTGAGACATCTTACTGCCACTTCTGTCTTTATCATTATAGATTAATGATCATGAATTCCATACGGTGGTGTAATGGACAGTGGCTCGGATTGAGGAAGTGGAGAGCCGAATTCAAATTCCAGTTGAATCCATTACATTGATTTATGTGCTTGGGAAAGGTATGAATCCTCATTTTCTCCCCCAGCTATGGATAAATAGCAGGACAGACCTGGTTCTATAACCTTGGATGGCAACTGGTCTACCACAGAAAGAAATGGCAACCTACTGTAGGAAAAAATCTGCCTCGTCAGTTATGTATCAAAAGATACATGATTGCCTAAGCGTGTATCACACATGGCACATAACTGACTGATCTGACTCAACATCTCTTCTTTAACCATAACCACCCTTATCTAGAATGTGGTCTGACCATATAAGCTCATGACTGGGATACCCTAACTTCAGATTAAGTGTCACTTGATCTTGAAAATATTTATCATTTTATTTCCCTACTTTGAACAGCAGGTAATTGCTTTGAAACACATCTTTACTGATGTCACAGTTGTCATGAAACTTATTGTCACTCCAATCCCAGATAAAATCATTCACAATTGGGATTCCCAACCCTCATTATTGCCCCCCTGTATAGCAAATATTCAAAAGGATACAGTGAGGGGTAAATTATGTTTTAATGGGTACTTTTCCTGCCTTGATAAATTCAAGATGGCCAATATAATAAAAGATATAAAACAATTTTATATTAAATAAAAATTATCCTGCGGTCACTTTTTAATTTTACTGACAAAGTTGTTCTTGGTATTCCCTTATCTGATTTATATCTAAGTTATTTTCTCTGAAGAACTATTTGAATGACCCTTCTCAAAACTAGAAAATTCCAAAAGATTCCCTGTTAGTGGGGATATTTATATTTTATCTAGGAATGTGATCCAGTTATTTCCATTTAGACTCCTATTTTTTTTTTAATACCAGTTCTTTGCATACCTCCTTTGAATATTTTTTTTGGGTAGTATATGTTGAAATCCTATATTGTCCACTAAAACTTCCAATCACCCACCATTTTCTGTTCAGTTGCTCATTGCCCACCCAACAGTTGAAATTGGCCACTGGTGGGTAATATCACCCAGGTTGTGAAATACTGATTTACAGTCTACTTGACTTCATGGGTGACCTAATCAATTAAGGAAGGACCCATTGTGTTCCAAATAATGAACATAAGTATATTTTTAATTCTAAAATTATTGAGTCTACATGACTTCAAGATTTTTTTTTTCCTAAAGTCATCAAAAAAGAGCAATTTATATACTTTTTTTTATTGCTTTGGTATATTAATAAAATTGAACTCCAAATCACAAATTGGTTTTATAATAAGCCATTAGTTTTTCTGTTCATACTTCATAAATGTTTTTTCTGCTTAACTTTGCTGTTAATGATTATTAGAAATTAATGATTAGAAAAAGTTACTATCTTGGTAAATAGAAAAAAATGATACCTTAATATTCATGGAATATAATGTGTGAAATATATTTTTCAAACAATAGAAATTTGATAGCAAATGAAGTTCTTTATTTCAAGGTGGTGTGATTTCGGCAAATATCTGTCAAAACAAGAAAACAGTAATAGTTTAAATTCTCAAAACTTCATTTTTCTAAAATATAAGTTGTCATTATTTTTATGGAATTATTTTAATACTAATTTTAGATTTCACAGTTTATAATTCTGGTTTAATATCTAACATATAAAAAAGGGGTGGGGGAGACTTTTCTTTATTGCATACAAACAGAATTTTTCATTGTTTAATGTGACAAAAGATCAAAATTAACATTAACTGTGATCCAATGATCATTTTTTAGTTTTACTTATAAAAATTAATTCAAGTAAATATTTCAGAAATGAAAATCTTGATGTTAAATTTTCATAATATACTTTAAAAATGTCAACTTTGCTTATTTTTCTTTACACCCAAGCGCTGTGATTTAAATGCTAAGGTTGTTACAACTTTCAAGGCAGAATGTCTTTATTTTGAATAACTGAGCAATTATAAAAGTCATTAACAAAATAATTGGTTATTTATAAAGTTCAGATTGGTGATGAATAATGTTATTTTTAAGCTGAATACACAAATTAGTTATCACTATTGAGCAAGAACTGCTAAGTTAGACAAGACATGGCACATGCTGATATAAATAATGAATTATATTTATTTGATGTTAGAGTTTTATACACAGAGATAACTATAAGTTATAATAAATTTTATCAAATATATAACTGAAAAATTTAAAATTAAATGATATTATGGTAATTTAAAATTTATTTGATGTCAGTAATTAACATTATTTTCTTTATATCACATATTTAAAATAAATGTAATATCCACTTGATTTGAACTGTACCAGAAATCATTTCATATCATATTTTTATATATGGGGTAGAACAAAAGTACACAGCATTTTTAAGTAAATTTCAAAGTTAGTATTTAGATATTTATACATAAATTGATTAAACCACATATATGCCATTTTATTCTACTACCTTGTACCAATGTTATGATTCCATCCTCTCAGAACATGGCATCTTACTGGTTGATGAACTGGTCTAAGTGGTTTTTTTAAAGTTTTTTTCCATGAAAAAATTTTGTAGATATCAAAATAAGTGGTAATCCAAAGGTGCAAAGTCAAATGATTAAGGCAAATGTAGTAGGACATCCCACCCAAGCTGTACCAATTTCTGCTGGGTCAGCTAATAGACATGAGGTTTGACATTGTTCTGATGGAAGACAACACCCTTTTAATTGGCCGATGTGTTTCATCAATTGCTGCCTTTAATTGGTCCAGTTAAGAAGTTTTACTGTTTGTACAGTGTTTTTTTTTTTTTGTTCCTTTCTGGAAATAAAGAGCATCAAATGATGAAAATGCATCTCATTTTTTTCCATTTT